TACACCAACAGGAGACTCTCCTTTGCTTACAGGGACTCAGGAGTTTTGGCCTACAAATCCTTCTTGTTCTTCTGTTCCTCCTGTCCTTCATGAAAGGGTTCCCACTGAAACAATGAGATAGCCCTTTTCCATGCCCCTGAAGTCAATTTTTTTTTTGAGCCATTACCCCAGTTAGACTGTATTTATGTCTCGGAGCCCTGGGGAGCTGTACGTGCTTTGGAGCAATGGCCTGCGCAGGGCCTGATTCATGCTCTTGGCTTCATACCCTTTCAGAGGAGAAGAAAAGGGCATTGATGATACACAGATAATTGAGCACTCCTGCAGCTATGTTCTGTACTTACTCAGCAAACACATCACAGGCAGCAATTGGGGCATCATGAGTAGGAGTGTGGACTGGAAAGCAAAACCAAACAGCTGTACCCTCACCGGTGAAACTGCATGGAAATCCTGGGACAGGATCACAAACATTTAGCACATTGCTAATAAGTTCCAGAAAATTCTGGCACAGTTCTTAAAAAAGATCAAACAATTTTTCAAATACAACTATTATCAGCCTCAGATATGATGTTACATTTAAACCGTAAAAATAGCTCTAAGCTGTCATGAGCTAAACAGTTAGAAGCTGGCCAACGAGATGGCAAACACGGCAGCAGCTTTTGTTTAAAACCCAGGTAGTCTTTAAGGAGAAATGGAGTTGAGTCAACAGAGCCGTAGGAGACTGGACAGACTCCTGCAGTGGGCAACAAAGTAAACAGTGGCTCCTGCAACACATTTTGACAGGAACTTTTAGCTACCCTTAGGACTAGACTTGTTAGACACCCACCACCTTGAGGCACAAGCAGTGGTGCGCTCCAGGGCACACCATGAGGCTGCTCAGAACCAGGTGGGTGGGTGGGAGAGGGTGGCTGCACTCAGGCACACAGCTCCTGGACCCGTGGCCTCAGTAGGCACTGAGGGAGGTCAGATCAGGAAACACTCCTTAGGCCCCTCTGAGGAAGGGATTTGGAAGAGGATGAGCCTGGTAGTGCAAGGATATATAATAGAAAATGTTTTCATTAAGGGTGATAACCAGGACCTTATTTTTCCTACCTTGTCTCTGCTGATTGTAAGCTTTTTGTTATGTGACTGTGCAGCCCTTAGGACACAAACACCCACATCTCCATTGGAGATGTCTTGACACATTTGTAGAGAAGTAAAACCAATAAATCCATAGGAGTCTCTCCACTGACTTCAGAGATCACTGGATTGGGCTTTCTCTGGCAATACTGATTAGGGATCTCTCCTCTTCAAACATTCATGGCTACTGTCTTTGAAACGAATTGGCTGCAACATCACCCTAAAATGCTCTGCATCTTCCTATGAAATAATTGTGTGATAGCTTTACAGGGAACTCCCTTGGGGAAGAAAATAATGGTAGGTCACAGTAATACTCCTCTGCTGTTCTTCGATACTCCCCAGCTAATTCATGTCTGAGGTGGATCTAAATGCAGGAAGAAGTAAGGTCAGCAGAAAAGTTTCAAGTGGAATTTATAATCATTAAATAGAGAAACTGGCTGAAAATCTTTTTAAGCCTTTGTGCTTAAGTTACACGTACGTTAAGTCAGTGTAATAAAATCAGAGAGTGCTTCCTCTAAATGCTCACATAATCTCAGAAGAACCCATGAATTCATGGAGAGGACTGGAGGGGGTGATGGTGGAAGGATTTGACTATTGTTCAGGAAGAGAAAGAAAGGGAAGGACTGAAACAAAATGTGGATCGGGAAAACCAGATCACCATAACAAATACAAATGAGCTCTGGAAGAGTTTATGATTAGAGTCTCCAAGAACTGTAACAAACTTTGATATGTTTTGGGAACGAGATAATAAGATCAGGGAGTCAGACCTAGCCTGGTCCCTACAGAGGATGGCATGCTTCTGATACACATATGAAGTCTTTTCTCACAAGATAGCAGCTCAGGCTCTTGCCCCTTTGAATCTCCTAATTCCTGTCATTCTGGGAACAGCTAGGTAGGAAACCCCAGCTGCTTTCTGAGGTGTTACCAGTGATTCAGCAAGTGGGTCAGTACTAAACTGATATTATGCCATTCATTTTTGTGCAAGTCCTTCACTGAGGCTTTTCTGGGTGAGTGGTGATGGGCTGAATCTGATGACTTCTAGCTCAGCTTCATGGTAGGAATCTGCACTGGGCATGAAGCTTAAAGTGATTGTTGTGATGAAAATATGCATGACAACACTTAAGCAAGGTGCCATAGACGTCTTTTCCATAGGTCAGGGAATAGTTGAGATGTAAACCATCTGCATATGTAGAGGTACTCTGCACTCTGGGGCTGTTTCCACTGAAAGGGCATCAAAAAGAGATAAAAATGAATCCTTATCCTTATGGACTGGATTTCTGCCAGCTGCTTAGTAATTAGAGTTTTAATTGCCCAGTAATAAAAGTTTTAATTACTCAGCAATTAGTGCTTGAAGTTTCAAGTGCTTCACATGCACTCAATTGCATTCTCAAATTGCTAAGAGTGAAAGAGGGAATAGCTCCAGTGTGTCTCAGCAAAGCTGAGCAAGAGGGGTGAACATCAGTGATGGAGCAGCAGCAGAAAATGGGTATAAGCCCAGTTGGCAGTGGTCAGCCAGGCAAGCACTCTCACAGAGCAGAACCTGCAGGCAGATCGTGGCCTTTCCCAAACTTACCATCTCCTTGGCTGGGCCAGACAAGATGCTCGGGTGGTAAAGGCATCATGCTGGGGAAAGGCTACTGCAGAAAACATGTCCTTTTTAATATCTGTTCTTTTACTTGGTGAATTTATTCCTTCAGGGTTTTAGTCACATACCCTGCAAGTGTGATTTGGTTATTTAATCAAGTTGCAATCTAAACTCATAGAGATCCAATAGGAAGCACCTAGCTCTTTAGGTGTCTTACCAAAATGCCTGAAACCCATCCCTGCCGGATGCATCCGAAGTCAGCAGTATCCAGCTGCAGTATGTTTATTGCAATTTAAAAAACTGTTTTACCTATAGTCTATACCCTAGTTAATTCAAGGCCAAAATACCCTTTGCCGGGTCAAGCATGAATTACTTCATAGCTTATTATCCCAATTAATTTTCTTTATGCTAGATAGTAAAGGTCCTAATTAACACACTCTCTGAGGGCCTGGTTTCTTTCTCCTTGCATTACTTGAACTTAAATATCATTAACAAGCCAAATTTTAACGAAGTCAACTGTTGGCAACGGCCCAGGAAACAGGACTGCATTTAGGCTACAGAGCCTATGCCTTTCAAAAGGTGGTTTGGCTTTTTTCCCCCTTCTTTAACTGGTTTCCAGATTTATCTGTTAAACAATGGTTAAAGTTGACAAGTGAAGTTTCTGAGGAAATGAACTGATAGTCACATAAGCACAGCTTTAAAAAAACTTTCTTGTTCCTGAGTATTAGAAAAAATACAAAAAACCTCAAACTATCATTACCTAAACAACAACACCTAAATCATATACACACAATAGTAAGTGAAACAGGAGTTTTCCTCTCTGCTCTGAAAGGAACTGACACCTCTTAATTGTACCTAGTTACCTGATTAGTAACCTAGTTAGTACTATGGAATTAAATGCTTCTTTTATTTAGTCAGTTTGGGTCAGGTGCCTGAACTGTGTGTCCCCTGCACTGCCTGTAGTGAGACAGCAGAGCTGGGAATGCAGCTGCAGTGTCAGAAGTGGAGAAAGACCTTGAATTCAGTGCAGGCATTCCCCAGGGCCAGCACTAACTTATCAGTGCTGCTCTCTGCATCCAGGAACAGCTTCCTAGCAGCCATGGTGAAGAGAGTTAACTCTTTCCTGACTACACTCAGCACAGCCACTCTGTGTTAGAGATTGTACAGACACGGGACAAACAGCTAACCTCCATCCCTAGTAGGCTGTAGTCAAAGCAGTTCATGCCACCCATTCTGTTTACACTGAGAAGGCATACTGTACAGTAAGTCTCTGCAACAGGCAGTTCTTTGGTTGAATTTACTATTGAAAAGTGCTTCCTCCTTTTGGTGATTGCCACCCTATGGAACCTCTCTTTTCCTTTTATTATTTTCCAGCTATGCTTTTCCCAGCTGCTCAGCGATTCAAGAGGTCCTCAGCTGCCGCCTTTAACCCAGTGCTACAACACTCATTGGAAGATGTGGTCCTGCTTTATGAGGTTCAGTATATGGGAACAGATGTTATCTTAAGCCCTAACCAAGACTGGGGTTACTGTCCATACTGGGGTTATCCATTATCTGTCTTCATGTCACTTTTACGCAACCCAGCAATAAACCCCTTGCTGACCATGTAATAAGTTACCAGAAGGGAGGGAACAGACATACACATGGCAAAGTCAGCTCTTTCAGCACTTAAGCAGGCAATAGTTGTCTGCAGTACCTCAAATGTGAGTTCTAGCTCATTGTCAGGCAAAGTGAAAACCAGAGCAAATAGCTTTCCACTGAAAGCAACTTTCTTCCAAAACAGTTACATATTAACAACACAATGAATTTAAATATTTTGGTCTAAATCTCAGTCCCAAATTATTTATTCAAATCAGTAAAGCCAGACTGAGTACCAGTCATTGCAAATTAATCCCAACAGCATGACTGTTTCACTTCAAAATTATTTGAAGTGAAAGGCCCCTTTTTTCACAGCAGTGAAGACTGCAGATGTAATGCGCAGTCTGGAACAATGCCACATGGCTAGCTAAGGGAAAATAGCCCACCTGAAGAAGGTGCATGGGTCAAATCTATCCCACACTTTGAGAATCTGGGATTGGAGGTCCAAACAGAGGAGATGGGCTGGGAAGGTGTTGCTGTGCTCTCTTACACAGAGCTAGGCCACCACTGCTATCCCTGGAAGGGTAAACGGCCTTTCCCAGCTGTGCCTTTCCCGTCTCCACCTCTCTCATCCCCATATGGCCCCAGCAGCAACCCATGCCTGCTTTGGACAACAGAAGGCTACCTGCTTTTTCATTTTCCTCTCTCCTTTCCCTGTAGCCTGCCTCTAATTTTCCCAAGCAGGTAACACAGGAGTCCAATGTTCACATAGAGACTTTCTGGTCTGCCCCACCTGCAGTCAGTGCAATGAGACTCTTGTCTCCATTTGACCTAAGGGCATATTGTTAATTCACATTTACTCTGCCTAGAGTCTCTTGGAGAAGATAAATAGCTTTCTGTGTTCTATTTTGTACCAGTTTCTTTTAGCTGAGCTTGACATTGACAAAGGCCAGAGGATCTCCATCAAAGATGAAGAGCTTGCTTCACTGAGGAAGGCTGCTGAGTTTGACACCATCTGCAATGAGATTATCCCCAAGAGCATCACAGAGATCCGCAGGCTGAGTAGCAGGCTGTCGTCCTACCCAAGGGTCCTCAAGAAAGAAGACTTTGAAAGGACAGTGCTGACCATGGTCTACACGGCCTACAGAGCTGCTCAGTCCCAGGGGCACCAGAAAGACACTTGGGCTGAATCCTTTGTCAATCTTTACAAAGCTCTGAAGCATGACTTGATGTTCCCATACAACAAAGAGCCATCATAGCGGGCAACTTAATGCAACGTCAACTCAGTCACCTCTTAGGGTTGACAAGGGACACATGCAGCACATCCACCACTTTATTCTGTAAAGAGTTTAATAGTCTGCTTCATGAAAGTTTCTTTGTTTTCTAGCTCCCTCTTGTGGAATCCACTTTATAGTTCCATGTTAAATGGGAAAAAATGTTATCTTCAGTCCTAAGAATTCTGATTTTATGCCAGCTTGGAGGCACATTCTATGACAGGCAAATAAGGGATTCTGGTGTACACCCCAGACAGACATGCCCTTGTTTCATCCCGCTGGTTTCGTATAAGCAATACATAAGTGTACTATGCTTATGCTCACATACCTATGTGTATGTGCTGCAGAATGCTGCTTACCTTGCTAGGCAAACAAGTTTATATTTTGGCTGGCCAATAAAAGAATATTATAAAGAGATGCAAAGGCTCTCTGTAAAAGGAAGAGGTTTCATAACTTTCAGCCTCCAGAAATTATGCCACCTATTATTCATTCCAAATGCTCCTGTAAATAAGCACTGTCCGATTCACTTCATTTGGCTGAGCCAGTTTTCAACTGCAATAACATTTGCAGAGACAAAGAGCATTGTGAACACCAGCATCAAACAATGCCTGTGAACATATTCCTTGCTTCCTAGAGCCACCCTTCCAAACAGTCTGCAATGATTCTTTCATTATTTGCACATGACTTTGCTTCTGCTCCTTGTTTTTTAAAGGGCACATGGATTTGTCCTCAGCAGAGTCAAAGGCAAGACAAAAGCCCTATTTAATTTAATGATGACACACTTTTCCTGGTTCTATCACTTGAATATAGGTCATCTAAACCCATGCTTCAGAATCCCCCTGAGGCAAGGGAGGAAGGTGAATTAAAATATACCTGGTGCTGAATTCAGTGGTGTGGCTCATTTCTGATGATAAATTATATATGCACTTGTGTGTGTGTTTATGTCCATGTATGTGTGTGCACGTAAGTTCTGAGTACGTGGAAGAATCCTAAATTGTTCAGTCAGGGAACAATTGTGTCCAACCACTTAGCAGAAAAGGACTATTCACCAATCCAGTGGTGGGAATTTTGAATGTGGGAGCAGTGGAAAAGTAGTACTTGGTTACAACAAAGACTATTTGTAGAAATAGTGTGACTGCAAAAAGGCATGGACAGAAAATAGAAAAAAAAGATCTATCTTGTCAGGCAGATGACTAGCAATGAAAAATCCAAACTCTTCTAAAGCAAATCCCTGCATTTTTGTGAACAAGTTATATGAACTCTGTCTCTCTCTTGATATTAGAAGTGTTTCTACTTCCAGAGCATGGGAAAACAGCTGAATATTTATTTCAGCCTTTCATACCAGCACTCTATCTCTCTGCATAACACCTTTAAGAGACAGGCCCAAATCACAAACCCCTAAAGCTATAAAGGAGAACTGAGGATTCCAGCCCCAGTTCCAAATCATGTTTAACTGCTTTTGCACCACTTGGGCAAAAGAAATTAACTCTTCTGTCTCCCTCAACAAGGGAAGTCCAAGGACTGGAGCTGAAAAAACCCATCCAATACCACCTTGGCAAATAGCGCCAGCAGTCAGAGCACAATGGCTTTGGCCAGTGGAATGTGGAACCCCATCAGCCTTAGGGGCAGGCTGGAAATGGCATAAGCAGCTGGACAAAGGGCTTATAAAAGACAGGGTCAGTCCTGGTCCTCCCAGTAGTTTCTGTATTGTGTATACACATGGAAATGGCATAAGCAGCTGGACAAAGGGCTTATAAAAGACAGGGTCAGTCCTGGTCCTCCCACACTTGTGGTATACACCTCCTGTATACTTGTGGTATACACTTGTGGTATACACCTCCTACCACACTTGTGGTATACACAAGTGTGCATGTTTGCATGTAGATGCACATACGTGTAGGTGCACTTTTATACTTAAAAATCATTGGCCTTCCCCAAAGCCTGGCTGGCATATGGCAGAGGAAACTGAAAACTTCAACCACAAAGCTATGATCCACATGCATCTCCGTCTCCTCTACAGGCACACGCAGCTCAGCACCTGCAGAGCAGCCTTGCGCTGGAGTTCACATGCACTTTAAGCCTTCAGCATTAACAATGATGATTTGTTTGTGTTTTCTTTCACCACGCCTTATAAACACATGGAGGGGAAATGCCATGGAGCACATTCCTGCCTTTCCAGCTCTGCTTCTTGGCTCCCTGAAGCATCACTTGCTGGAAGAGCCTGGAACCAGGGCAATTCATAAATCCCTTACAGCCAGTGACTCCAAGTCTGCAAAGATAACAAGAAAGAGCACTGCAGCAAGTACTAATTATTAGCAGCCATGATCCAGAGAAATACCTCCCAGCCACTCTCCTCACACCAGAACAGGACTGTCCAGTAGTCAGAGTTTACTCATCAGTAAGTGTCCCATAGATGATTACAGATAATTTTGAATATCCAATCATTCCCTATGGCATCCATGCCTTACTGTACCTTATAAATTGGTAATTGAAACTTCTATCTCCTCAACAGAAAATAAAGTTTTTCTGATTTTTCTGTCTTCCCATTACTGTGTGTAGTGTAGGAAAAAGATTTATTCCTTGGGAATGTGCTTGGACTGCCCAGGTTAATTTAACAGAGACTATCAATGTAATAATAAAAACATTCTACATAAAATGAATTGGTTTTGCACTGTATTGATTTCAGCAGCGGATTTACTATTTAGCAACTTGCATCTTGACTATTTGGTTCTCCCAGACTGCAAAATATTTCATGGGAGCAACAGTACAGGAGAGATGAGGAAACAGCCCTCCACTCTGATGGGGAGAAGGAGGTAATAAATAAGAACACACATGCCTCCTTTTTCCAGAGTTTAAGTCAGGAAGAACATTCTGTCTCAGGGCAGCTCTTTGAGTGTAGGACAGCTTCCCTCCCCCAGTACTGGTTAAGATGCAGGGATAGGTTGCCTGCTCCTTAGCTCAGTTTGCGTCTCATCGCTTCAGACTGAGTCACGTTTATGGACAGTCCTTCTCTCATGAGGTAAAGAGCCGTTGCGTCTAAATGGCACCTTTTATCCAGCCTTTGATCTTACAGATCATAAAGTGAAATAAAGCATACTTTTTTCAATTACAATAAAACATTTTTAGTTTCTGAGTATTTTAGTAATTCTTTCAGTTTCTCTAAAACAACTGACAAAACAGATATAAATTCACTGGCTGTATTGGCTGACCCAAAATCTTCACATTAGCTATACTTTTGCTTCCAGAACTAATTTTAAATTTTCCTGAAGGGTCTCAAGAATCTGTTTCTTGATGGAAGTTTCAAGGTATAGAAACATCACACAGGTGTCCTAGTTTAGGCCCAGCTGGCAACTGAGCATCAGGTGGCCATTTGCTCACTCCTCCCACAGGTGGGGTGGGGAGGAGAAAATGCCAGGAAAGGCTGGTGGGTCGAGATAGGGACAGGGAGGGATCACTCGCCAGTCATGGTCACGGGCAACACAGACTCGACTTGGGTGAGAAAAATCAATTTAATTAGTTACCAATCAAATCAGAGTAGGGTAATGAGAGACAAAACCAGATCTTAAAAACCCCTTTCCCCTACTCCTCCCTTCTTCCCAGGCTCAGCTTTGCTTCCTATTTCTCAACCTCCTACCCCCAAGTGGCACAGGGAGTTGGGGAATGGGGGTTGTGGTCAGTCCATCACTCACTGTCTCTGCTGCTCCTTCCTCCTCAGGGGAGGATCCTCACACTCTGCCCCTGCTCCAGCATGTGGTCCCTCCCACAGGAGACAGTCCTCCACCAACTTGTCTGATGTGAGTCCTTCCCAGGGGCTGAAGTTCTGCAAGAACTTCTCCAATGTGGGTCCCTTCCGTGGGGCGCCGTCCTTCAGAAGCAACCTGTTCTAACATAAGCTTCGCACGGAGTCACAGCCTTGGGCACAGACACCTGCTCCAATGTGGCTCTCTGCTCCACCATAACTCTCCATGCTTCTAGCAGCTTCTCACAGGAGCCACCCCTGTAGCCCCTCCCCTGCTACCAGCACCCCAGCACACAAGCCCCACTCATCAGTTTTAGGTACAACTGCTGATTTCAGGAAGAATTCACCCTGCACATCACACCTCTCTGCAGCTCTGCCTTTGCCGGTTCTCCAGGGCCCCGTGTCACCGTGGCAGTGCAGTTCAACCTGGGGAGCTCAGATTGTGTCTGACTAGCAGAGTGCGGGCAGATGACAGGTAAGCAGGGTTTGGGAGCATGGAAAATCCTAGGTGTGTGTGGCTTCCTACGAGATACAGGGCAAATGGATGTCTGTCTACAGGCCGTGTATGCCACCAACCAATGGATTCAGTTCTAAACCTCCAGTATTTTCTGCCCCACAAAAAGCATTAATAACAGCAGAGTTGTCAAAATTTTTCTGCACTACAAGACTGCAGTAGAAATCCTAAAAATTCTCAATTTAAGTGTGACTCCTATGGTTACTGAGGGCACATGAATCAGTACAGAGATCAGCTCTCAGAATAAGTGACGTTCATGGATCAGGATGAAAGAAACACAAAAGACACTATTTAGAAAACAATTATTATTTATTTATCATCAGTACTGGGTCCTTGAAACAATAACAAACTGTTCAGCAACTTAAAAAAGGTCTTTTTGTATGCTTGTGTGTGTGTGAGAAAGTGAAGGCTGCTGATTTTCTCAAATGTTCTGACTGGGGTTTGGATAATGGGTGGAGCAATTACTACCTTCTACAGTCCTCATTGGTGAATTAGAGTTGCATGAAGCTTTTTAACAAGTTTTTATCTTGAGAACAAGTATAATCTGTGTTGGAATTGCTGCCCTGTGAATTCCAAGCTCAGGGCAAAAGTAGGGTAAAGGTAGATACAAAGTAGATGGCAAAACTATAGCAAAGAAACAAAATCGGGAGGAGCTGAAGATGGTTTAATTTTTTATTTTAAAGAAGGAATACCTGCAAATTTGCTGCTGCGAACTGAACAATAAAATTGTTTGGTTTAATAATTTCCCAGAAAAGAATCCTGTATTTGAGACATCCAGACTATCAAACAGGAGAAGAAGCAGCAGTC